TGCGTGTCTGCAGTGCTTTTCGAGATTTTAAAAACAAATAAAATTTAAAATCATGCATTTTACTGGGATTGTGATCTTTGAACGTTTTTTAATAAATCTTATCTGAATTAAATACTACTCAGTGTTTACATTCATGCTGCGATAATGATAAAAATACTATATTTACAAATTTTGCGCATGAAATATAACTTTCACCTTGACGAACATCTCGTTTTAAGGATGTTAAGTATACAAAAAAGATTACAGAATTACACGCGTGCATTGCGATTAGCTTAGTCTCGTTACTAAGTTGTTGTACTCATATGGTTAAGTGTAAGAATAGCTTTAGCCAAACTTTGTCAGAGTGAATCGCACTTCTGTAACTTTATTAATGAAGATATTATTACGAGGGATGTCTTTTAAGTTTTGCATATAGAAACATAGTAGGCCGCGCGGATCAGTACTGAATCTTAACCTCACTTTTTAGTAAACTTAAATTCAAAGTTTCACAACAATACATGCAGTGTTCTCACTACAGTGAATTTTTAAGTGTCACCAGGTCATTAGAAAAATGGAACTCAACCGAGAACATTTTCGCGCCATAATTTATTACAACTTTCAGAGACAATTATCGCAACAAGAATGCCTTGCTGAGTTACTGTTTTCGGCAACGAAGCGCCACATCAGTCGACAATTTCCCGTTGGTATGGAGAATTCAAAAGTGGACGGGTGAGTCTTTGCGACGATCCCAGGGTGGGTGCACCAAAAACGGTAGTCACACAGGAAAACGTCGATGCTGTGCGCAAACTCATCATTGAAGATAGTCATGTGACATATCGCGAGATTGAGGCGTCCTTGAAGATCTCAAAGACCTCAATTCAAAAAATTTTACATGAAGAATAAGAGTAAGAAAATTAGTTTCTGTTGTCTGAAGAGCAGAAAGCAGCCAGGGTTAATTGGTGTCAAAAAACGTTTGACCATTTCAATTCCGGAAACTCAAAAAATGTGTACAGCATTGTTAGTGGTGATGAATCGTGGATTTACTGTTATGAACCAGAAAATAAACGACAGTCGGCTGTTTGGGTGTTCCAAGGTGAAGAAAAGCCAACAAAAGTCATCCGTTCTCGAAGTGTTTCGAAAAAGATGGTCGCGACATTTGTGTCAAAAGCGGGTCATATTGCAACAATTCCTCTTAATGAGCAAAGAACTGTTACTGCGGATTGGTATACCACCATTTGTTTGCCAAAAGTCATCACCGAGCTTCGAAAAATCAAGCCCGAAAGAAGAATCATCCTCCACCAAGACAATGCAAGCTCGCACACAGCCCAAAAAACAAGGCAGTATTTAACGGAAGAAAAGTGGAATTATTGGACCATCCTCGATATAGTCCCGATCTAAGTCCTAACGATTTCTTTGCTTTCCCAAAAATTAAAAACAGACTGCGTGGTCAAAGGTTCCAGTCACCAGAAGAAGCAGTTGACGCATTCAAAAATGCCGTTTTGCATCTGTTAATCTTCGTGGAGAATACTTCGAAAAACAATAAAGTCATGTAAAACTACCTACCGTGTTGTTTTATTTTCATATGCAAAACTTAAAAGACATCCCTCGTATAACTTTATCATTGAGGAATCTCCACATGAAATTGCGTTGAGTAGATTAACTCCTATACTTTCTACCCTAAAATTAGCGGACAGGTAGACTGAGTGATAGGAATGTGTGACATGGTTTTTCCTGCTGCACATGTCGTATAACGCCCAAAAAACATAATGTGTATCTCAATTTCGGAATTTTTTGCAATTACAATACTTTCTCGCCTGTTTTGTCATAATGCCAAGCGGGCTTAGATCGTATGATCTAGCATGGCAGTGAAGTTCACCAGTCACCACTGTTAAAAATCGTGCTTTCATTGCCAAAATGTGCCTACGAAAATTCCAAAATTGTCCTTGCTTTATGACGCGTGGCGCTGTTTTGTCGAAATAACATTGTTAACCTCTAAGTACCATGGCGGGGTCAAATTTGACCCTCCACGTTCTGTATGCCAAGTTTCGCTACCGAAGTTTTTTTAATAAAGTTATAACTAAAAAATATTCGTTTTTTTTTATAAAAATCTATGACTAGTTCAGAACAAAATAGCTTACATAAAAACAAGGTAAAAAATTAGATTTTTTATGTAAAAACAACAATGGGGTCAAATTTGACCCTGCCATGGTATAAATGTTACTGTTTTTGGCCGTGGTAGTTAAGGGTTAAAGAGCATATTATCCATTTGGGGCCACGAATGGTCCATATTTGTGGTAGCCGTTCCACCGTTGTAAATTTTATAAAAAAATAATCGTGAATTTCCGTTGTAAGTCTACACAATAGGTATTTTCTGTCGATTATTTACGTTAAAATAATACCGTAAATACATATTTCATTCATGGAAATGTCTATATTTATTTTCAACTAAACATTTACAACTGTAATGCCAATGGCGGTGATTTAAACGCCGCATTTTTGGCGCGCTTTACAGTGATGTCTAAATCACGATTAGACATGTAGCGTTTTTCTGGGTTCTTCTTGGGTGTGGATTAAAACACTGGATTCCACAAAAAGAATTGCACTAATTTATTTAACTTGATAAAACATTTATATGCACCACTATTTATGTCTGACTAATTCTTATGTCACCATTGACTGCACAATACTTCTCTTCGCTCTGCTACTCCACCGTATTCCGTCCTCTCTTCCCTCTCGCGGTCGTCAGGTTATATAGTCCGCATCGTTTGTCGAGAAGAGTCTGGCGGGCCACAAAGCGGAAGTCTAGACTCTTCGGGATCACTTCGCGTCGATCTAGAAGGCGATCCACTGTCACGGTCCTTGCAGACGCCGCCAGGCGGCTTGTGCGCCGTGGTTCGCGCAAAAGCAGAGATCGGCATTTAGTCTCTGGCGAGTAGGAGACTCGCCCAACAGATGGCGCCATGGGTCACAGTCATTTGATTGGTTAGGTCAATGTCCAGTTTTTGAAATAGCATGTGACTACAAAGTATAGATTACTTTTATCACTACAAACAACATGAAGAAACTGGAACATTAAACTGACAGGTTGTCATTTAATGACAAGCGCTTGCTATTTTAAAATAGGATGAACCAATCAACAAGGGATTGATTGATCAGTCGCAAATGGTGAGCTCACGCCAATAGCGTTGCATTTCGACGATTTAAATTTAATACGTATTTTTTTAATTATTTATTAATTAATACTCGTCCTTGTAACATGGTGAAAAGTTCAAACCCCGAAGTTCTTCTTGGGATACTGGTAGAATGCAGAGGGTTTCTGGTCTCAGAATTCTGGTTTCAACAAACCCTTTTTACCAGTTGAGCTACTATAACATTACTGATCTCGTTGTGACTTTGTATTTATTGATAGCACTGGTGAACAAAATTAAAATAATTTTTTGTGACATGGACAAAACAGGGTGGTTATTATGTAAAACATACCCCAAAAGCCGGAAATAGAACTCGATTTTTTCTATCACCCATGGTTTTCTTGCAATTAGGCTACTTATACTCGTAAAATATAAGGATATGTGTGTAAGAGTACTAATAAACCTTCCGATTATTTATTAAAAACAATTTCAGTTAAATGGCTGCCGCGGCTGGCCTGGGAGTAGTACATCATCTTAACCCAATTTTGACGGATTGATGGATATTTTCCTTATGAACGTCCATTGTTTGAGGATCGTTAGTGTAACAGCGGTCCTTAGCAGTATCCCATAGGAAGTAATACATGGGCGTCAAATCACAGCTGCGGGCTGGCCAATGAACGTTTCCAAAACGGATGATAACGCGATGACCGAAATTAGTGTGTAAAAGATCGATTGTTTCACCGCCGGTGTGGCATATTGCGCCATCCTGCTGGAACCAGAGATTGTGTAAGTGCGTGTCGTCCAATAGTGGCCACAAAAAACTCATCAACATGTCTCCTTCCAATTTCTAGGCATTGTGTTCATCAGTGTAGTCAGTATTTCCTGTCTCCTATCTCTGTCAGGCAGATCCTAATATTTTTGCATATAATACTTTTTCTGCTTCATTTCCTTAGCACCTAGCGAGTTAATTCGAGCTGTGTCATGTTAGCATTTTGTGTAGATGTTCTGTCAAGTTATTATACAGGGTTTGTTCGGAAAGTAATAGGACTCATTTTCTTCCGCCATGACTGTACTGCACCGACTGGATTCGTAGAGGGCGTTCCTAGCTAACGAATGAGCGGCTGGTCAGTTGTCTCCGAGCACTTCGAGAGTCAGGACAGGCATTTTCACGCGACGTGTTTCTGTGAGTGTCAACGTTTTACGTGGAAGTGCTCAGGAGACTCAAACGAAGGGTCAGTCGGGTCCGACAAGACATCGCAGCCGACTAGAAGTTGCACCACGACAACGCTCACACCGCCGTTCTTGTGAAAAGCTACCTGACCAACGCCGGCATCCCAACGCTGGCATCCCAACGCTTTCGCAGCCGCCCTACAGCCCAGATGTGGCCCCCCAGACTTTTTTTGTTTCCTCGCCTGAAAAGGTCGATGAAAGGCAAGCATTTTGAGACGACAGAGGGGATCCAAGAGAATGCCTTCCGTGACGCTTTCAATGCTCGGAAATCGCGCTGGCAGCGCTGCATCGACGCAGAAGGAGTCTATTTTGAAAGTTTTTAAAGAATTGTAACGATTGGCTCAATAATTTTTTTTAAATCGACTCAGTCCTATTACTTTCCGGACAAAACCTGTATTGTGTTCTGTTACTATATGGAGTGGATTCCTGCTTTCTTATTTTCACTCATTTTTAAAACGCTTTTATTAACTTGGCCTACAATTTTCCCCAATTTCCAGAAGTTTGATTAATTTGAAACTTCGCACACGTATCAAGGACCGATGACAACGCAATAATTTGATAACAGTTTTCCATTATCCTTATAAGAAAAATTCTGTAAAAAGCAGATATGTTAATAAAAAGCCACAGATTTCAAATGCCGCGTTACGAACACTGAAGCTACAATCCTCTATAGCGCAGTGGCAGAGCACTGGCTTTGTAAGCCAAGAGTTGCGAGTTCAATCCTCACAGGACGCAGATTGTGGTATACATTTTTTTTTATTTTTTAACACACTTTTATTAGCTTGACCTGTATGTATGTATCTATGTATGTAGCGGTATCTTTGAGCATACATTTCCAGAAGTTTGATTAATTTGAAACTTCGCACACGTATCAAGGACTGATGACAATGCAATATCATGATATGTCCACAAAAAACTAATTGATAAATAGAACTAAAAAATGAAAAATAAATAATAGTTTAAAAATTTCTAGTTATTTTGGGATCATTCACAGTACAGTGAACGCTCTTAGATGCTCAGATCCATAAAGCATTTCAATAAATCAAACAATTGATATTTTGGTGTATCATGAGAGCTGAAAGCCCGACCTACCTCTCCCTTGCTCTCTGTGACAAGTATTCATTCTCAGAAATGCTGCTAAAATACTTAAAATACCATTTTTTTTTCAAAGCCTTCGACCTGTGGTACATGAAGTACTCTACTACTGCCCTCAGACCTACTAAGTCTTACCTTACTATCATTGTAACTGACGTAGATGTGTGTGCAATGGTAGGCATCACTTGTACAGCCTTCCCTGCAAGAACTCCAAGAGCAGTTGTTCAATCCGATGAGTTCCTCGCGACGAGTTGTGATGCAGGTGACCGGCTCCGTGACGAAGTTTGAGACCAAGGTCGAAATAGCTGGATCAACGTATAGTGGCACCAGGAAGAGTAGAGAAGAACCAGCTGCCATGGAGATCACTGCCAGCACGCTGGTCGAGTAGAAAAGGGCTTGTTCTCGACATGATCTGCCTGTGGGGGGTACTACCTTAGATTTTTTCGCCGCCGCAAGTTCCTGAAAAGAAGTGCTTCGTTATAAACTCTGTGTTTTCCATGGTACCTTGAGTGCAATGCAATGAGATGCAAGATTCAGAGGCAGTTCAAATGGATCCAAGGTAATCCAAGGAGATCTGAGGCAAGTGAGGAGTCTCCGAGGAACCTCCAAGATTTTTACTCTAGTGGGACGGGATCCTTGGAAATTCAGGACTTTCCATCCCTCTGAGTGAAAAATGTACTCACTGCTAGAAAATTACTTATCCAACAGACAGCAATCCGTTAAAGTTTCAAAGTTCAGTAACGAAATTTTTATCAAATGTGGCGTCCCACAAGGAACAGTTTTAGGTGCACTGCTTTTTAATAGATACCTAAATGGATATATTTCAAATTGACTGTGTTTGGCAAAACAGCAAAAGTTTCGCAGATGACACAGTAGTTCTTTATAAAGGTGATAATTGGTTTAATTTGAAAAGTATAGCTGAAAATGATTTTGTAAAAATTATCCAGTGGCTTAATCACAGAAAATTGAGCATTAATTATCTAAAACACATTTATTACCATTGTCTATTATATTCCAGACATCTACCAAATTGCACAAACATCTCATTTATCGTAAATAATCAGAAATTAGAAATTAACAGAGCATCCGATATAAAATATCTTGGAATATTCCTGGATCCACACTTGCGTTGCAAAATTGTACTTAAATTTACCTGACGGTACGCTTTGGAAAGAATTTCATGAAAAAGTTCAAAGAATTCATTTTTTAGTATATACAAATTAAAAGCAACTGTGATCAAACAATTCGTTGATTAGTTGTATCTCTATTCATATTTCATTAATACAATTGCAACAACAATGGTCCATGTACAGGCAATGCCTCCTATGGGCCGTTCATATCTATTTACTCATTCTTTGTATTGTGTTTCAGGAGCAAATAAATATTATTATTATCATGTATCAAGCTTGATCTGATTTTCAATCACATAAGTGTTCAGGTGACAAAAAAAAAACACAATTGTTTTTGCCGCCTTTCTATCTATGTAACTGTTTGTTTTGGTTTGTTATCATCAGCGTTATCGATTAATTAACCTTGTCAACAATCAGGTGGTTTATTTACGTCAGATCATTTTCGTATGTGTAACATATTTTATTCAAGGTTCATTTACTGACACTTGTTTGCGTCATGATTATGTTTATAAGTTGAACAGTCTACGATTCAGTACGTGTTTTGGCGTCTCATATTCTGTATTATACAATCTAGGTTTGTTGTGTTCTGCTGCTTGCTCATAATGCCCGTTTATGCAGTATGGAACAGCCAAATGAAATAAACTGGTTTCCCCGATTACGGTACATATTTATCAGGAGTTCCCAAATAGGTCGATTTTAAATTCAATAATCACACCTCATTGCGTAGTAATATCATCCCTAAATTCGACACCTTGAGGGCGAGTGTTAGAACGCTCGATTTTTCAAATGATAGTTGGGACTTACGATACAGGATTTGAAAGGAATATCGTTGATCAACGTATTCTACCTAAAGATAGCCTAACAAGAGGTTTGAAAGATCATAACGACATTTATGAGACAGTAGCAGAACACAAATTAATCGACGTTGAAAAGGCTTAGAATGAATCTATTCCGTGGATAGCGCTTGGGTCTCCAATCCTGTTTCTGGGCCACTCTAGTGCCTATTTTTATTGGACATTTTCAGATGGAATACTTTAATCAATGATTGAAGATCCTGGATCTTAGTCAATAATAGAACCAACCACTCTAACTCATATCATTTTTGTGTTCTCCTGCTGTGTCACAGATGGCGCTAGATCCCTTTTTTTGGGCGCCAAAATACTATATGTGCTTGACTATCATGAGGTAGAATACGTAAATCAAATCAAAGCTGTGTTCTCAAAATACCAGGCACAATACATATGGAATTTGACCACCGCTCAGTTTTTATGAAAATATAGTAAAAGTTCATGCTCCAATTGGAGCAAAGCCCAGAAATGTTTTCTGTTCGAGATAATGTTTTAAAGTTTGGTGCCTTAGCGCCTGTGGATAAGATATCGTGATACGGAAATTAACTCGTCTTTATTGTAGACTTATCTATATAATAGAAACTACGTAAACACATACAGTAAATACATGGTGTCCCAACGAAAATGGAAAGTAGTTTAACAGAAAAACCGTAACAGATATTCGAAAACAATGCTCATCAAGACTATCATAAACCTGATATCAGAAGAAACTTATAAAGGCGCGAACCTGGTGGTGTAAAATATACGGGATGTTCCATTTAACATTTTTGAGAAAAAGGACTTGTTGCGTTTTTCACTGTCCTGACAATGTTGGCATACTTTATCATTTTCGTTCCAAAATTCAATGAAAAACTACGCAAAATGGGAGATGCCTTCAAAGATAGGATTTTTTTCAGACAAATAGTGAAATAACCAAACAGAAAACACCCTATATATATTAAGTGTTCACGTGATCATATGATTATACCATTAAGTTCTCTGATTACGTTAAAGACGAGATAGTTTTTTTAAAATGCTGCAGATCGGCGTACCCACAGGGGCTGAGGCACCAAAATTGAACACACTGTATCTCCATTAGAAAGCATTTCTGGGCTTTGCGCCCATCGGAACATTTGATCAGCAACATGAATTTTCCTTAAAATCAACAGGTGGTCAAATTCAGTGTTTTGTGCTCGGCGCTTAACTACCATTTTTTTTAAACGTTCAATGAACTTAGGTCTGCGTATTTTGAACACATACAATCAATCATAATTAATGACCTAAAATAAAATGTAAGTTACCTGTATTAACAGAATAATTCAATTCCGAGTAAAAAACATGTTTTGCATTTTACTACCTTTTCATAACTCTCCTCTCACAGATAGTTGCCAATAGAATGATTGTAACATTTAATATATCAAGCATCCACACTTTTTACTCTGACTTGAATTATTCTGTTAATAACTTAAATTTTATTATAATTTTATTTTAAGGTCATTAATTATGATTGATTGTTCGACCATCTACTACTGTAATATAAACTCTTTGTAATTAAAAATTATTTTCTACTTTTTAGTTTAGTGTGTATGAATTGGAAGTTAGAACCCTCACTCAAACATTTGAAATGACAAATCTATTTATTTATTATTTACATTTTGCCTATTCCATATCAAGAGCTTTTAATGTCTTTTAAATGTAAATTTTTAGGATTGGTAATTTTTAAAACGACCTGGGAGTTTTGGAAAACCAGAAAATTAGAAAAATCCACAAACTGTTGGAAACTCGGGAAGTACTAACAGTGTTTTTGAATCCTCAATGAAAATTTAACTTTGGTGGTTTCTAATCAATGGATTTTTTCATAATTTGAAATCTCGAACAATAAGTAGCTTGGAAAATTCGAAAAATTTAATATATTACGATGATTTTTATTTGTTGTAAGAGGAATACAGAACAACAGACAATACACAAAAATAAAGTATGGTAATCGGCTAAGGCTCACATATATTTCATGTTAAAACTCGGTGATGCAGTAGTAGATTTTGCTTTTGTGAAACTTAATTTTCCGAAATATGAATCTATTTAACACTCGTTCCCTAAATTTCTTGAGCTGACCATGGTCAACTTCGATTCGATGAGGGTAATTTATTCCCTGATTATAATTACGAGAACGATTCAGACACTTGTCAGTGTAATAACTGGGTGATTATATTATATGCATATGGCCTCAACATACTCGTATAACTGTCAAATTTCAGGTAGTAACAAATAATCTGTTAAACAATCGACTTACCTTGATTTTCTGTCTCCGTAGTTCCTCTTGCTCATCGAGGAGTAGCTCTGAACTACTGCTCTTCATTTTCAGTTGAACACTATGGCATTAGTGTTCGTTTTGTATGTGAGTCACTCACTCAGCCATATCATTTTGAAAAGCTAGAGGCTAATGTATGTTTATCAAAGGGAATCGGCTGACATCTCTTGAACACCCTTTGCGCACTGCCCTACCAAACCGTGAATGACATTTCTCACCCCTCATTTTCAGGATGGTTTACACGGGTGCCAGTTGCCCCAGGCATTTCCCCGTCATGCGGATAATCCGGGCGTTCGGCCATATGATGTGGGTTAACGTGGCTGCCCACTTGTAAGGAAGGGTTGTAATTGTATTTACAGCTCGAAATGATTAAACCAAGATACCTCTCCTTCGCGGGAGACATTTTCCGACTCGTTTTGTTTTGTAATGGCGTTTGTTGCCTGTCCCTTGACAGTCTGGCCAAAACGGTCATCTTCACTGCTCGATGAAAAATCATTGTTTTTGAGATTGCCAAATTGTTAAATTAGAGTCAAATCTTCCCTTAAAAAACCGTGGGGAATATTTTAGGCTTAATGTTTTTGCATCCAAGCAGCCGCGCAGGCAGAAGCCTAAATGCCAGGGCACTGCAGCTGCTATGAGGACCCCAAAGAAAATGTGTTAGTACCATTTAGGAGCGGTCGTATCGGCCAGTTCTAGATGTACGATGTTGGACACGGTTAGGATGGGAGGCCGAAGTCAGGCGGGTCTGTCTGGCAGAACTCTGGAGTACAAAGCCCATTGGCGTAGAGGTAGAAGAGAGCTAGATAATGAGAAAGGGTTCCGAGACTCTTTGTTAGAGAAGAGCTTTCGATCAGTCGGACAGCTCTCCCCTGAACTGCGTCGAGCATGGATAATTTAGTCGAGGCGGCAGCACCCCTAACATGTGAGCAGTACTCGAGGCTCGATGTTATCTGGGCCTTGTACAGAGTGAGGAGGTCATGTGGAGGAAAGTGCTTCTTAGCCACTATTCACGAGATGTGTTCGTGCTAAATGAAGTCCTCGGTGATCTGGACTCCAACCAGCCGAAATGAATGGCTCTTTGCTGGTACTTGGTCATCCATCGATGCTGGACGAAAGCTAGGACGCTTTTTGTCAGACAAGGTCCAGTACTTTGTTTTGGAAGCATTAAACTGTATAAGACTGTTGCGTCCCCAAGCAATGATAACCTCCAGGGCTCTTGTCAGAGAGGGAGTCGGTGCTAGTCTTCTATTTTCCAGCTCACCGGCAGAAATCGGCTTGTCACTCTGAATTACTGCATGTAGAGTTCTGTCATCGACAAAGCTGTGGATTGGATTGATTGTACAGGAAAGGAGGTTGTTAATATGTAAGAGAAACAGTGTCGGAGCCAAGAGTGATCAATGAGGGACACCCGCGTTGACGTTCTGGGATGAAGATGAGAACTCGTCAATTACGACGGATATCTTGCAGCCAGACAGAAAGTCACCCCCAACTGCAAAGCTTCTATGGGATGGAAGTTTGCATAAAAGGGCAGCGTGTCACAGCTGGTCTTGCTGCTCTTCCAGGTCTTGTAAGGTGTGAACTTCAGTTGAAAACTTCAAAAATAATAATTGATGACATAGTTTTTAAGCCTCGAAAGACGGCGATTCTTATCGTTTTTCAAGACTTCAAGCGCCTTATAATTCGAAAATGGTCAACTTTTGAGAAAAGTTACTGAGGGCTTCTGTTCATAGTGATTCAGAAACCCTAAAAAATCTAAATCCAGAACGAAGAATTTTTTTGTAATTTGTTCAAAAAATTGTTTCAACAAATTTGCCCCGGATTTGATTGATTCATATTAAGAAAGATCAAGTCGGAAAATTTCTCCACCGACTGCTGTAAAATTGTTTGGTCTGGTCCCGTGTTTGTCATTTTATAATCTGTTATTGCTCTATGAATGAATGGATGAATGAAAACACGTAATTAGAGGCATACCGGCCACCATAAGGAGCCAGCGCATAGGCCACTCAGACGGGTCCTTGTGCACCTCCACCTTTCTTAGACCTCAAGCCTCGCCATTCTAGCGAAGTTGAGTATGGGCTTGAATCCAAGCTCCTTAATGTCCTGGGGCTTCAAAGTGATGGACACCAGTATAGTCTGCCTGTAGTAGCTTAGAGCCTCGCAGCGACATAGAACGTGCGCCGAGGTCTCTTCTTCTACCCCTCAGCGCTTACACGAGGGATCCTCAGCCACACGCATCACGTGCAGGTGGCGCCTTAATGTGTTATGGCCAGTCCCACCAGCAACCTTAGGTTGGCTCTATCCAAAGGTAAGCAGAAACGTCCATCCTTAGCGTTGGGCCCTGCAATGAGTTGCCGTGCCTGACGTAGATGTCTGGAGATGCTTCTCCATTTCTGAGAGTGTTGTCTAGCAATCCACTTCTCCGTTTTCCTCCTAACTCTTAGCGCGGGCACCCCTAAAGCTGGCTCAGGACCAACGAGCTTGCTGGCTGATCCTGTCTTCGCCAGAGCGTCCGCCGCCTCATTGCCCTTTATCCCAGCGTGACCCGGTACCCACACTAACGATACCGGATGCCACGCTGCTAGACAATCCAGAGCCACCCTAAATTGCAACACAAGGCTCGAAGTAATCTTACAGGCACTTAGTGCCTTCATTGCAACCTGGCTGTCGGAGAAGATTGTTATCCTTCTCCTAGGCCCACCTTTCTCCAAAATGAGGGATACACAAGCCAGAATCGCAACGATTTCCGCTTGGAAAATCGTGGGTTATTTGCTCTATAGATTTTGTTGGAATTTGGGGAGTCTCTTTTTTAGTAACAAGATATTCTCCTTAATAGGTAGGTTGAGGCTTATTGTGCACCGCCAGTTGCAAGTATTTCAAGTTCTAAACTAACTTTGATTTTTTTTGCACGATTCCTATGTTTTCTCCTGGGGAATCATAAAATAGGTGGTTTTTTATCACTTGAAGTAGAAGGATCGAAGAGAATAAATATGCTTTGCAATTTGCTCTTCCGAGGTGGTTATCAAGGAGAGGATTTTTTATCTCAGTATGAGGAGAGCAGTCCAAATGAATCCGGCAATCTGAGGCATTTCAAAAAGATACGACTTAATTCAAAGAGATCCGAGGCTAATCGGGATGCCAGATGGCATCTAATGAGACTCTGTCCCATTTTAACGAGAGATATGAGGAAATTTGAGGAGATCCAAGCAGTCAAACGCGATTAGAGGCAGTCCAATAGGATTCGGGGTTATCCAAGAAAATCCAATTCAAGTGGTTGAGATGCAATTCACGGGAATTCAGACACACTTCAAGGAGATTTGATGGTATCCAATTAGATTCTATCCCATTGGGAGGAGATTTCTGTGAAAATTTAAGGAGATCCCAGCCACTCCAATGCGATCCGAGACAATCCAGTGGGATACGAGGCAATCCAATGAGATGCAGACAATTCAAGATCTAAGGAAATCCAATAAAATCCGTAGCAATCCTATGAGATCAGACGCAATCCAATCAGATCTACGGAATCTGAAATGAATACTCAGCTGTCTCAACCAGCTATTAATGGTGTCCCAGGAAAAAAGTAAGTTAGAAGCTTTCTATAGCCATAACAAGCCCAAAAAGGTGCAAATATCTCGAAAACTAGAAAACTTTTACTAAGCAGGTCATGTTGATTTTATCTGATTGATCAGGGGTTATTTCTGGGACATCGTGTATAAGTACGTATCAAGAACTTTTAGAATCAGTTATCAAACATTATTGACAAACAGTTTCAAACCAGAGCTCCATTGCTTCATTCTGAGGAAATCAATTTTCGTGAAAGCCCAAATAGCGTACTAATGGTTATGGCAAAGCCTATGTCTTTCTGTTGCCATTTCATTACATGGAAAATTGTACTAGAAGTTGTTTCTACGACGTGAAAAGTACAGAGTCAGTCTACATGACGCCATTTTTTTTAATTTCAGACTTTATGTCGCATGTTTCTCAAGTTCATTATCAATTTCAGGGTATAAACTTTATTCTAGGTCTATTTAGATTGTTGTCGCCTAACTGCGCAAATGCGTACTCTAGCAAAATACGTGGTTTCCTACCCTATTTGGCGACACTTGATTGTAACTGTGGTTGGCGACTCAAACTTTAGGGCACCTCTAGTGTTCCCTTAACTCCACGAGTCATTTCACGAAGTTTAAGTACTAGTATTGGCAACAATGTAAATTCAATAAATAATGAAAGGGAAGTTATCAAACAAGGACCTAGATAGGCTTGAGACATAGGACTCTTCTCTGAGCTCGCTCATGTCGTTCATCTCTCTTCAGTGAGTCGTCCGTTTGAACTTTGAACGATACGATTACCGACCGCCCTCGAAGCTTTCGAGAGTATTGTGTTGCCTATAGTAACGACTCACTGAATCAAAGAATATACATCATACTATGAAAATGAAATATGAAGGGTTAGAGTTACCGATGTTATTGTATTTAATTTAAGTATTAATATTTTTGGTTGAAATTGAATATAACGAATATATACTGTCTTCCGAAAAAAGAAGGGATATGTAGTACGGTGTTAAGAGATTACCGAATTCTGAATCAAAATGCAATTTTTGCTATTAAATTCCATCATTTCAACGCATAATTTAATGATACATATCAAAACAAAACAACCGGGTTCCCTAGATAGTGTCTATAGTGTTACCACGTTGTCAGTTCGCAGTTCAGTTGCTGCATACTGTAGACAGGCTTTGCCCAATTCAAGGAGTCATATGTAACAAGAGTCGTTCAATCATCGCTCACTTAGATCAGTCGTTCATTTTGAACGACTTGTTCGCGAACGACACATGACTAGACGTAGATGTAATCATTTACTTCATATACCATGCAAAAGGGACAACCCTTCAGTGGCTTCCATTTTATACCAAACTTACTTAGTTTCTAAAACTAAATGGATTTTAGTTATTATTACGCATTCGTGTAAGCCAGACCTAAGCTTTCTGTTTGTGTTGGCTTTCAGAAATCCTCATTGAACCTCGGATATTTTTACCTAGGAATGCCACGGACTTTAAAATTTCCCACATTTTTGTCGGCATTTTGGGATTTGCATCCCAACCAGTGTTGCCAAACCGAAAATAACGACAACGGTAGGTAGTGTAGTATGGTAGATTCAAGAATAAAATCAGGCTCATTACAAGATCAGCGGTGGATCAAGGACCTTTGCGTTACGCAACGCCGTCTATGAAAGTAGTATATTTTTCTATTTCCCGCGAACAATCAACAGGTTCTTTATTACAACTTGCACAATGAGGAAACTGGTCACTCTTCAA